GACTATCTCAGAACCAACCTTTCTCTTTACCATATGGTCAAACGGTTTGACCATGGTCAATCCCTTTCCATTGGGAAAAGAAACCTTTTCTGGACTACCAATGTTGCCATTGTTAATGTCCATGGAAATTTTTGGAGACAGATCCTTCAAACATTTTTGCTTGACTTGTGCTTTTAAGCACTTCTGCTTCAGCAACAATCAACATATATGTTAGATCAATTAGGGTCACGTCGTGGTCCCTCACATAGTAGTCTTTAATGAACTGACTATATGATTCAAGAAGCGAAAGTAGAACCAAGTCAATGGCTAGCTCCCTTGGGAAAACGACATCCAACATCCCCAATCTGTCAATGTGCGATTTCATTTTCAGAACAAGCACACACACAGACTTTCCATCTTGATGTTTATATACCAATAGGGCTTGAGTGACTTCTTATTTCTCAGCTTAAAGGAAACATGACTTGTGGAGAGTCACTGGAGGAGGTGGAGGAAGAGTTGGAGAAGCATGATTTCCAGTTCCACCATTGCTTCAAGAAGGGAACATTCTTTCACCCTTATCAACATGTGGAAAATCATCTTCAGATAGAGAAGAAAAAATATTTCCAAAAGGACGAGGAAGACCATTGTTGTATGAACTTGACATCTTGATCACTATAATAGGGTAGAAAAGAGAATTCAAGTTAGTTGATTTTAATCCTTAATTATTAACCCAAAATTTAAATTAAGGCTAGGATCCATATTTTCTATTCGAGCTTTAAGAGGGATGTCGTAATCAAATTTGAATCTATTTCAGGTAGGTAAAGCATTTACCAATTTCAATCTTATGAAACTCCTAGATATTTTGAGATTCATTGAACTATTCAATGGAATGTTTAATCTCGATTATGCTCTCACATTGTGACTGGGATGCCGAGGATTACAAACGAGATGTGAATAACCATGCAAATTAGCTTGATACTCTCGATGTCATTTATCATCTAATCAATGTGCCAGTTAGCTAATCCATTAATCAATGATAATTTACAAGACACCCATTGCCAACAATATTATTCCATATTAGTGTGCCGGTTAACCACACACACTCCATTAATGACCAATAAGGTGCAATGTGCAATTTCATAGATTAGCATCAAATTCACATTTTTCCTAAAGTAACTAAGAGTGAGATTTTAGAAAATGGTTTAGTTACTTTATATTACATTATACTTATTAATAATATTTAATTTTGTCCTATCGAACCCGTTCGGCTAACGACCCTCCACCATACAAGAGAGCGGTGGGTAAGAATGGATACCCAATGGCGGTCATTTTATAGGCCGGTTCCTTAAACTCCCCTTATAGTATAGCTTCGTGAATGAGACGTACTAACGATTCGACTGACTTTTCTTATACATATAATATATATTAAGCTCTTAATTATATATATAGTATAAGGTGAATTTTAAAACATTTTAAAATTCCAAGGGTTTAATCTTTTAATAAATTAAACTTTTAATTTAATTAAATTAAAACCAGTTTATGGATTTATTAATTATCTTTTAATTAATCATTTAATTAAATTAATAAAATCCATAAGGATGAATTTTAAAGTTTTCAAAATACTAAGGTTTTTAATCATTTAAATTTTCGAAAATTAAAACATTTTAATTTAAATTTAAAAGAAATTGATTTAATAATTATCTATTAATTAAAACTTTAATTAATTTATTAAATCATTTAAGGATTATCCAATTAAATTAATCAAAATAATTTAACCTAATCCTTATCCCCTAAATTTCGAAAATGTGGGAGGGATAATTATAAGATCGTATAATTATCTAGTTAACCAATTCAGAAGATAATTACCAAAAATAACAACCCTACCCAATCCCCTAATTTTCGAAATTACCATAATATGGGGAGGAAGGCAACGCTTTCAATCCTTGCCAAAATTTCGAAAATCCCTAGGGTTAGGAAACCCTAAATTTTCAAAATTAGAATGCCAAAGGAAAGGGTGAAAACCCTTATTCAAATTTTTGAAAAATAGGGTTAGCAAACCCTAATTTGAGAAAACCCTAAGCCCAAGGGTTTAATTGTCATAAACCCTAATTGTCAAGTTCAACCAATTGCATCAAATTCAATAGAAAACAATCCTAGGCTCTGATACCACTGATGGGTTATGGGCATAACAAACAATCTTTATGTGTACATGCAACCCTGATTTGTAGGATCTATGTTTTCACTATTGGACATGCAAGTATTGAACACAAAAATAAACCTTAGAGGACATCTACTATAATCGAACTTAATAATAAGAGATAGTAGACATGCCTTTGATTGTTATGTAGTAATAACAATATAGATCCAAGATTTCTTGAAGCTTGAGAGCAAGTGTCACAAGTGTCACACCTCTAATGGCTCACAAACACACTTAGCAAAAGGAAAACTATATATATATATATATATATATATATATTATATATATATATATATATATATATATATATATATATATACACAGAGGGAGAGAGAGAGAGAGAGAGAGAGAGAGAGAGAGAGAGAGAAGACTACTATTTCACCCAAGGCTCTTAGAGAGAAGGCATGGATGAAATATAAGGCTAAGGGGCCTTTATATAGCTGAGGTAGCTTGGTGTCAAAGCTAGGGTTTAAGGAGGAAACCCTAATCCTTTTGCTTGGTGGCCAAGCATCCCATTCCTTTGCTTATCCAAAGGCTTGGACGAAAATTCTTTGGGCTTGCCCAAGTGATTTTCGCCCACCTCATCCAATGAGGTCCATGGACTCATTTCCTCAACTTTCAATAAATAACCAAACAGCCTCTGCACTTTTAATTAACTCATTTAATCCCAAAATTAATTTCAAATTAATTTCTGATTAAATATTAATTAAATAATATGATTTATAATTAATATATTATTTCCATAATACATTAATAAATCATTTATTTTAATTTATTAATCAAATAATAAATTCCTCCTCTCTCTCTCTCTCTTCTCTCTCTCTCTCTCTCTCTCTCTCTCTCTCTCCAAAAGTCATACTGTCTAGTTGCTATTACTTTTTGAATATATATTTACAATGTAAACATTTACTACTTTAAATACTAATTCATTAGGTGTGAGACCTTCTATTAAATATTTTTTTAATATTAAATATTTTTTTAAAATAATGTTAAATATCAAGGTGTAAATATTAATTATTTTTTAAAATAAAATTTCAAAATATATACAAACAAAAAATAACTCAATTTATACTAATAACACAAACTACGGAGAAATAATTATATTTTGGTCATATAATTTTTTTTAGTTTTATCAATGAAAAACAATGTTTAATTATTTCTTATGTAGACCATTTTGCTTAAATTGACAATGAATTTTGAAAGATAATGCCAATTTTAAATTATATACATTGAATAAACATATTAAAATATGAAAATATAAGGAAACAAATTAATGACACATTAATTATTTTCTATAACCTAAAACTTAAAATAGTTAATTAAGAAAATCGAAAATTACCACAAAATAACAAATAGAAATTAATTTATAAGAATTAAGCACAAAATTGTGTGTAAAAAATAAAAAAGTGACAAGTGGCATAAATGGTTTTTATTTATTAAAGTAGACTTGTTGTGAGACCCGTATATTATACGGGTTGGTTAAAACAAAAAAGTTAAATAGTAAGGTTTAAACAAAAAATTATTTAAATTTGAAATTTTAGATTTGAAATTTAAAATTTAAAATTTGAATTTAAAAGGAAACATACTAAATACAATATATGAATAGTTATATTGTAATTTATTGACTATTTTCAATTAAGGTAATTATTAATTGAGGTGTAAATATCATGTATTAATTAAGAAAAATATAAAAAAAATGAGAAAATGACAAATGAAAAAACATTTATTCAAAAATATTAGAAAATGTCATGTGTCCAAATAAACAAGAGAATGATATGTGGCAAAAATATTTTGATTTATTAGAGATAATGATTTGTAATGAACTTCAATATACCACTAGGTGTGAAACTCGTGTACTACACGAGTTTATTAAAAATAAAAATTTAATATCAATATTTAAACATTAAATATTATATAAAATAACACTTTTACATAACATAATGTAATCTTTTGGAACATTTATAAAAGAAATAAATATTCTTTAGAGTATTTATGAGACTTTATTATCAAATTAATAGAATGATTCTCTTTCCTTATAAAACTGTTAGAATTTTGTAGAATTTTATTTTAAAAAATGGAAATTCCCAAAAAATGACAAGTAGAAAATAATAATTCTAAAACTCCCACAAAATTAAATGTGGCAAAACTCTTGACAATTTGACAATGAAAAAAAAAACTTTCATTTATTAGAGAGGATTCAACAATCATACATTATACTACGATATAATTTATTTTACACTAACATTTTATCTACTGTACATATTATTTACAATTTATAAATTTACAAATTAGTTTGTTTTCTAAATTTTAAAACCACTGTAACTAATTTCATTTTTAAATATAAAAGAATTAAAACATGAATCGAAATTTAATATTTTAATTATATTTTTTTCAACACCTCGTTTCAATCGTAGTATTTGCAAAAGAAATTAGTTACTATCGAGTATCGATTTAGCAAATTCTCATACAAATAATTACAGATTATAACTGCTATGATTTAATAAAATGGCATACTTAATTTTCAATGAATATATTTTTATTATCAAAACATTTTAAACTGTAATTGTTAAACTAGTATTTTGAGTCATTATTTTCATGTGTTCTTTTGTGTTATGATCGGGACATTACTGGATAATAATAAAGAAAAGCTTCTCTAATGGGACAAAAACTGTAGGTTTACTCACATTGAAATGAGTCCCAATTGGAATCAGAGTCCAAGTCCAGTGCACAACAATTACAATACCAGTTTGTTTTGTTTTGTGATGTCATATCATGTCATGTCATGTCATGTGTTGCATAACAAATGGGTACACAGAGCAAAAAGTCAAAGTTTTAAAGTAAGATCGGGTGGTGGAGTAATTTCCGAGTGTTTGGGACCATTATTACTTGAATCACCAATGCCATCGATCTGCCTAAAGCTACCCGGCCAAAACGGTTCAACTTCATTATCCACCATACATACGGGTATCCCTAGATAGCTTTGGTCAAATCTTGCTCCACCTCTCATAGCTTGAACTCCTTGAAGCAACGAGGCATGTGTCTCGATACCCAAATTTTGAAATGTCGATCCATGAAGTGGCAAAGATGCTAGGCTCGAGTATCTTTCAGATAACATCCCCATCCTCATGGCTCTTTTTGCCATCGTTCTCTCTCGTTTGTGTGCATTTTGATGCCCTCCTAATGCCTGTGAGCTGTAGAACTTGCGCCTACAGTAATTGCACGAGAAAACACGCGGTGGGGTGTTTGTGGGCCCCGTTTCTGTGCCAGGTGGCGGCATGTCGCTGAAGCCGAGGGTTAGGTCGAGTGTTACGGGTGAACATGTCGGGGAGATTTCGAATTCTTCTTCAGAATCGAATATGTTATTTGGAGGTTCCATGTCTGATCAATGGTTTTTCTAAGCACTATATCTTATTCCTGCAAAGGAAAATTAGATATATATTGTATTTGTTAACATGATTTGCAACTCATGTATAATCAGTGAATGCAACAATACACAAAACAACATCATATTTATATTATAAGTCTTTTCTTTGCATTTTACGGATGGAAAACATCAGACAAGTGTAATGTGCCTTTTCAAAGCAAAAAAGCTATACATTGATCAATGGAATAAGTTCTTTTACAACTAAAACACCTAAAAATGTAAGTGGTCAAACAGACTACTTCGCAGACAGAAATTTATTATTTCCACCGAAAACAAAAATCAGAATAATAATAAAAACAAAAGTAACACCGGAAAGATTGAATATTGACGTAATTTTCTAAAATCTGTACAACATCTCAAAGAATTATCGATTTCTTGACATCTGGGGTACTTGCTTATGCGATTTAGACGTTCGATAAGCTACATTGTACTTGCTTACGAGATTGGAACTTATGAAAAGCCACAGTTTCTATGTTTAAGCAAAAAACTAGAATCCATCGAATGATCGAAACCACTTTTTTCCTTGTCGATTTGAAACATAATTTAGCAAAAACGGAATACAAACACGAAAATGCTTTAGATGTTTCATAAACAGAAAGGAGACAACCCATTTATAAATCCTCACTGAAGATTTCCATCAAACATTTACAGATCCATTATTTCTGACATGCTTGTCTTTGAAATTGTGAATTATACAGTGACTTATGTCATATTTGGGAAACTCTCAAATCTAAATCTTCTCTAAAACCAAATCCAGAGAAAACTCATACAATACAAATCGTAAAGCACGAATACTAGAAATCCGAAGTTAATTTACAAGCAAGACATCGGGTTATCGAGAACGATCAGAAAAGGGGTTGAATACCTGAAGTAGGTCAGTAGTCTTCGCAACTGCTTCGAGTTGATTATGATTATTAGATTGAAAAAGAGCTGTGGGTATTTTGTAGGTTTTGCCAAATATAGTGAGAAGAAGAGGGGCATACGGAATATAAAAGTTGAAGGAATTATTGAGATAAGATTATATCAGACAGAGAAAGAGAGAGATAGAGGTCTGATGTCAGGGAAGTGAAAGAAAAAGAGCAGCAACTATTATCAAAAGGCGAGAATGATTGATGGACTTCTAAAGGTTTAATGCTATTCTTTTAGTATTCCAGGTGAAAAGCATGTTAATCCCCAAATGTTCCACTTCCTAACTTTTATTATATAAACTTAGCAATTTGGTTTAAATCCCCCCTTTTTGTAATGCATAGAAATTGTCAATATAATTTTTTTTAAACAGTGAAATATGTATAAGATTTTTGTTGGTCGGAATATTTTATTCATATGTAGAAAATAACATATAAAAATTGTCTTCGTAATGGTTATTGTTTAATTTTTTTTATAGAAACAGTAAATGTGTTTAAAAAATTACATAAATAATACCTACCTAACAAAAAGTTTGCAAATTGTCCCCCGCACGATCCCGCAATATATTGTCATGTTTCGACCCTACCGTTTTTTGGTATCACGCTTTCGCCACATGACTTTTTGTAGATTTACATGTTTGTTCCATACATGTGCGCGTGAAACCCCGCTTATGTCCCCCGTGAAGCTGGGATAGGGTAATTTTTAGTTATTATTATTAGGAAATTAAATTATGATTTTATGATATTTGATTTTGGGATACTCTGATACGTGATTATCACTTTTGAGAACTATGTTTCGTAAACAATTATGGTTTTTGGTTGGAATTTTAAAATAAAAATTTTACCTTGATTTTTAGGATGTTACAAGTTGGTATCAGAGTCCTGGTTTGAGAGAATTGGATGCGCATTCGTGTGAATCCAGACTCAAACTAAGGATTTGTAAAGGTCTTCAAATAATTTTCACAACAATTTTCAAAAATTGTTTTCAAAATGGTTTTCAAGGGTAACCAAGAAGGATGAGATGTGTACGATCAACCGGAGCAAGAAAGTTTACCCCAAGATACCCACATTATTATTTGCTTATGATGATTATGATAAAGATGCATGCTAGTTTGTAGGCTAGGGATCCTCAGGGATTGCATGATAGAATTTCTTAATGCATGATACCTGATAGCCTAGGAGAATTTCTTGTATGTTAGATGAAACTGACATCATTACTGCAGTTGCTTAGTGTGTGTATCATAGTTATACATAATTAAGATTTTATGTCTGAGAATGTTTGATTTAGCCTTATTTCATGTTCCTCATTTGGTTGTGGGCTTAGGGTAGAATCATGTATTTGACTTTCTATAGGATCCAACGTTATGTATGATTAGCATAGACGAGTGGTTGCAGGGTTGGTGGAAGTTCCATGAGTGAGTACAGTTTATAACAGGCCAGCGTAAGGAATGCTTAACCACTCTTGAGAGAGTAGATACACGATGTATGTGTACCCTTGATGCTTGGACCTAGTGGTTCGGAATTTGCGTGTAAGGATCTGCCTGATTTTATGGTGTCTTAGTACCAAACGGTTTCACTACTCGAATGTTGCTTGCTTTGTGCTTTTTAGGACTCATATCGATGTGAGTTAACTATTAAATGAATATGTTAAGTTACATGTTGCAAAGGTTAAATAATTTTAGAATGATTGATTTGGCCCTATTGCACAGCTCTCATTTGAGTCTAACCGTTGTAGGGTTGGGTCTTTTAGTCAAAAGTTTATTTAAGTTTTGTTGCATGTAATTATATTCATGAAGTCGTTGATAGGTTGATTGTCAAGTTCGAGGAGCGAGTTGCATCCATTTGGACTGTGGAAGAGACCGTTGAGGCGACTAGGGGGAGAGATCTTGATGTGGGAGCGCGTCCAGGGAAGAGGAAGCAGGCACATGATTCGGAAATTGCAGTATTGGGTGAAGAGTTTGATATTGCTAACCTGAGTAGTGGATGCCAGAGGGACCACGTCATGCACATTAAGGATGGAAGAACCCATGAGCCTGTATGCTGTAATTTCAAATGTGGCAGGTGTGGACGGAAGGGCCATGTTCACCAAGATTACACCCTGGGTGTAGAATTATGTCATTGTTGTCATCGGCCTCGTCACATTAGGGCTAATTGCTCATGTTTGACGACCGGGGTAGCTCAGACTCTGTCATTCATAGTTTTCCAGGAAGCGGCATCAGGACCTCAAGACCTCGCATGTATGTATCGTATTCAAAGCCTTCATGCTCTTATTGTTTATGTTTATGATTATATGATTGTGTGTGTGGGAAGTTATGATCGGTTTACTTAAGTCTCCACCTAAGAACCGGAGTTTCGTTAAAATTGCTTGGTTGTTATTATTATTATTGTTATTGTTATTGTTATTGTTATTGTTATTGTTATTGTTATTATGATTATTATTATGATTATGATTATTATTATTATGATTATTATTATAATTATGATTATGATTATTATTATTATTATTATTATTATTATTATTGTTATTATTATTATTATTATTATTATTATTATTATTCAGAGGATTGTCATATGCCATTCTTCATGCCAAGAGCTGTGTTTAGAAGGTATGAGATGGACTGGTTTTAGGCTTCGGTGTGGATGGCTTCGGCCAATGAGGGAGTAAGCCCTATGTGGGGAAGGACTGTGTGTTCTGTTAATATATCAGCATCCATATTGATTTTGTTGGTCCCAGCTCAATGGGTTGGAGGAGGTTGTACTGTAAGTTCATTGGAATTCTGTTATTCGAAATTGCTGAAATTTGTCATGGTGGTGAGGATTTAGGGATTAATCAAGAGAGGGTGCAGGGTAGAGCTATTGTTGATTTGACAATCTACTTCATGGTATGGTGGATGTACTTTCGCACGGGTTTTGTTCAGTGGTTGAGATCATTCGAGAACTTTCGAATTATATCATTTGACGGTGTTATGGTGCATCAGTCTTTCTTCAAGTGTGGAATAATAGATATTTTGGACCCATGAATAGAGCGTCGGAGTAGCGTTAACCAATTTCTGGGAGGACTTCAGATCTCCGTAGAATCCCATTTCGGCGGGTCCTGCAGGTAAGGTTGGAAACGATTCAGTCTGATCTCGGTTCTGATAGCATTCAAGAAGTTTGGTTCAATCAGTGGAGCAATTTAGGATCGATTTGACTATTTTAATGGGAAGGATTTCCTAGAAAAGGTTTATGGTTGAGATGTTTATTGATATGGATGGTGATCAAACTGGAAAAGCTTAGGGTATGGACACTATGGATTGTGGATGTATAGTAAAAGTGTTGAAGTCGTTAGGGAGGGGCTGATTCCAAGTGGGGGAGAACCGCTTGGAAAAATTTGGAATAATTTCAAGTGCAGATTAACTTGGAATTCATATCTAAGGGCAAGATAATAGTTGGTTTTTTATCATAACGAAAGAATCAAAGATTAAGGATTTAGGTTATCTCGGTTGGGGGTCCAGTTCATACTGATCTTTGATTAGGTATTATGTGGATGATTGGCAAAACATGGGTTGGGCCCATGGCAGTTGGGAAAGCAATGTGAGACCGTGGGGTAACAATAGTGTTCATTAGGTGGTAGATAGGCGTGGAAGTGTGGTAAGTCTACGACTTGGCCCAAAGCATTTTTGGGATGAGTTAGGTCATACCAAGAATGGTTAAGATAATGTGTAAGGATTGTGTATTGTAGTATGGTATGGCCCATGTGGTTTTGGTATGTGGTAAGTGAGACGTTGTTTGGATTCCTGCAGTTTGGTGGGATGATGGCCGTATGTATATAGGCCCATGGCAGTTGGGAAAGCACTATGAGACTGTGGGGTAACAATAGTGTTCATTAGGTGGTAGATAGGCGTGGAAGTGTGGTAAGTCTACGACTTGGCCCAAAGCATTTTTGGGATGAGTTAGGTCGTACCAAGAATGGTTAAGAGAATGTGGAAGGATTGTGTATTGTAGTATGGTATGACCCATGTGGTTTTGGTATGTGGTAAATGAGACGTTGTTTAGATTCCTGCAGGT